GAGGACGCGGCGGGGACGGCAGAGACGTGACGCGACCGGGGGTCCCGCCCCGGCGGTCCTGTCCGCGGCCGGCTCCTTCCTCCGTTGGCTCGCCCTGCTGTCGATGGTGCGGTTGCCGACGGCGACCGCCGACTGCTGGCTCATCGAAGGCGAGAAAGGCTTCGTGTGGCTCGCCATCTGCAGCATGAACCAGCCGCCGTACGAGGCCATCCCCTCCCACATCAACAGGTAAGGAATCTGAAATAAGACACCTCGGCCCACATTGTTCTCCCCCCTCCCGGATCTGAAGCCGCCGCGCTTTTACTATCTCCGCAGCACCATCGTGGATCTGAGGCTGAACGAGAACAAGATCCGGTCGGTCCATTATTCTTCACTCAGTCGCTTTGGCAACCTCACCTACCTGAACCTCACCAAGAACGACATCAGCTACGTGGAGGACGGGGCCTTCTCAGCACAGTTCAACCTGCAGGTGAGCAGCTCCACGCGGGGTCATTCCGTTAACCCGCATCTGCACAATGCTGCAGCAGCTCGGCCGGCGACCTCTTGACTCTGCGAGGTCGTAGTCGGGGCAACGGTAAAGGGAAAAGTCAGGGGACATGGCATAAATATAAGCGGAAACACGGAGGACTTTCACCCGGGAGGCCGCTGTCAATGTGCTCTGTGAAACCAGAAGTCAGTGTCGAGTCATTGGAATAAATAATAAACATGGAGCATCATAATTTGAAGCGTAGGACCAGCGATATGCTGTATGTGACGACTTCATTCCACCACTTTATTTACTGTGCTTTCGTACAATTCGTTCTTTTCTCACAGTAATTAGAGACAGCTCCTGTTCAACCAGCAGGAACATTCAAATGCAGTTTACACACTGATGCAGAACCTTCTTTTGTTAAATAGAAAAGGTCCAATGTTCTTAAGTTCTTCATAAAATGTCTACTATCACTTAATAAATATTTCGGATATAAATATCTGATAATGATTCATGATAATGGAGGAGTATTTCCTACTTTCACTCGGGTTACGGATGTGGATTATTCAAGAATTATACACACAAAAAGAAAGAAGAAAACACTCGCTCATTACGGCTTCCAAAACGCATTGAGTGTTTTTCACCAAACTGGGCTGAACGCAGCCGTAATGAGCTGGCGTAGTGACACACACACACACACACACACACACACACACACACACACACACACACACACACTACCCGATGGATTCGTGCCAGGAGGTAAAATGCGAACACGAAGGATCTCGGTAAATTGAACACGGCACGCAGGCTCAGATCACCGCGTGGAACACGAATCGCACTGAACCGTCGTCTGTTGGTCCCGCGCGTGCTTCCAGCCCGGCGTGCGATGCTTGGCGCCGGCCCGGCTCTTCAGAGATTAGAATAATCCCACTCGTGTTTGCCCCTCCAGGTCCTCCAGATGGGTTTTAACAAGTTGCGGAACCTGACGGAGGGGATGCTGCGCGGCCTGGGCAAGCTGCAGTACCTCTACCTGCAGGCCAACCTCATCGAGACCGTCACGCCCAACACCTTCTGGGAATGCCCCAACATAGAGAACATAGACCTCTCCATGAACAGGTATGACGCCAAAAACATGCTGCGGGGGAGTTGAAACCATCAGTTGATCAAGCAATTCATTTGCTTTGGAAGAAAAAGAGAAAAAGAGAAAAAAATATTAAAAATAAAAAATCTTCAATTTGATTTTTGAGTTTAAAAAAAAAAAAAATGTATATGATACAAAAGCGGAATTCATGTGAAGAGCTGAAAGTGTTTCCTCACAAACTGACTTTCTTTCCGGGTTCATAATCACGTGAGCATTGACGCTGTTTCTTAAATGCCGCAAAAACGGAAAGGACAAGCGGCAGCGTTGGTGTCATCCAACCCAAATTCAACAATTTTCCCCCCGCGCTGACATTAAGCCGCGCTGCGATGCTGCAACGAGCCGTTCATGCAATAAAAGTTGAGATACTTCCCCAGTGGGAATAACTCTCTTGTTCACACTGTCGCTTCCATAACTGCTATCGACCTCCTGACTTAAAATCAACAGCAGGTGCAAGTTTAAGTGCTCTTTGAGGCCTGTTAAAAAGGTGTTATTGGGAATCCCCAGGGTCCCGAGTGGGTTTAGCAGAACTCTTGAGTCCCACCCTTCATCTCCGGCCCGGCCAACGTTAGCAGATAGAAGCTCAGGGATGCGGGCGCGCCGAGGTGACGCTGTCTGTCTGTGTCCTTCCCCCCTTTGCAGGATCCAGGTGCTGGACGGCGGTTTGTTCTCTGGACTCTCCAAGCTGACCACGTGTGAACTTTACACCAACCCCTTCAACTGCTCCTGCGAGCTGCTGGCTTTCCTCCGCTGGCTCTCGGCCTTCCCCAACAGGACCAGCGAGCGGATGGCGTGCGACTCGCCTCAGGGGTTCTTCGGCTACAACCTCCTGAGCCAGAACCCGCGCGCGGCGAGCCAGCGCAGCGCGCTGCACGTGCTGGGCCTCGTCTGCACGGACGACGGCAGCAGCGTGACGTCTTTCTACATGATCGGCACGGCCGACTCGCCCACCCCGCCCCCGGATTTCGCCTCCCCCTGCGGGCTGGACGACTGTGCTTCGGGGACTCCTCCCGACGAGGTCATCAACATAAGCCCCATTTTCTCCGACACCAAGCCGGTCATGGTGCTGAAGCAGGTGCTGCATTCCACGGCCGTGATCACGGTTCAGATTCCTCAGCCGTACAGGAAGATGTACAGCCTGGTGCTCTACAACAACAGCTTCTACTTGGACATACAGGTTCTGAAAAACCAAAGGGAAGATATCGAGCTGAACAACCTGAAGCCCAACACCGACTACACGTACTGCGTGGCTTCCATAAGAAACTCCTTGCGCTTCAACCACACCTGTCTGACCATCTCCACCGGACGCCGCGCCGGGGAAGATACGACGGACAATCAGTCGTCAGCCACCCACTACATCATGACCATCCTGGGCTGCCTGTTCGTCATGTTGCTCTTCCTCGGCCTGGTGGTCCACTGCCTGAGGAAGAAGAGGATCATGCAGGAGAAGGAGAGGAAGATGAGCAGGATCCAGAGGACCCTGATAGAGCTCAAGTACGGCGGAGAAGGGGACATAGAGGGAGGGAGCGGCGGATCCGTGGCCCAGAAGCTCGGCGCCGGCGAGAGTCTGTCCAGGATGCCTTACCTGCCCCAGGGTGGCGAGATCGACCCGTACAAGCTGCAGGAGGTGGTAGAAACGCCGGCGCACAAGCCCGCCAAACTCAACTACATGGAGGTGAGAGGGTCCGGCATCGAAAGGGAGAGAGAGCGAGAGCGGGACAGGGACAGGGAGAGGGACAGGGAGAGGGAGATGTCCCCCCAGGCGAATCCCCAGGGCTCAGTGGCGGAGATCTCAACCATCGCCAAAGAAGTCGATAAAGTCAACCAGATCATCAACAACTGCATCGACGCCCTCAAATCGGAGTCTACCTCCTTCCAACAGGGGATGAAATCCCCGTCTTCTGCGGGCGGGGGGGCGGTGTCCACCGCGGAGCCTCAGCTGGTGCTTCTTTCCGAGCAAGGAGAGCGAGAAAGAGGAAGCGAGTTCCTCTCACCGGTGTACAAGGGAGGAAGGGGAGGAAGAGAAGACCGGGGGAGAAGCTATCATCACTCTCTGCAGCGCCACCACAGCATGGAGGCGCCTCCCACCTCCAAGAGGCCCAGCACCTCCTCCTCTCCCGGCTCCGCGCGGAGCCCCCGCTCCTTCCGCTCCGAGGGAGGCTACCACTCGTCGGAGACCCGCTACATCGAGAGGGCCTCCGGCGGCGAGCGAGGGGAAAGGGGCGGCGGGGGCGGGGAGGCCGCTCGCGGGGTCAACCCCGCCGCGGCCATCTTGCGAGCCGAGGCCCAGAGAATCCGCCAGTACAACGAGCACCGTCACTCCTACCCCGGCTCCCAGCAGCACCTCCAGGAGCTGCAGCAGCAGCAGCAGCACCACCCCCAGGTCCTGCAGGACCTCCACCACCACCCAGGCGGCCGTAAGCCCTCCATGTTGGACCCCCTGACCCTCGGCAGGCAGGCCAAGCAGCGGGAGCTGGCCTACTCCCAGCTCTCGCCGCACTACCCGCTCTCGCCCCAGTACCACAACCTCAGCTACTGCTCCAGCCCGGAGGAGGACGAGGAGGACGAAGGGCTCCTGTGCACCCCGACCCTGGGGCTGTGGGAGAGGTTCAAACTGCACCGCAAGAGGCACCGGCAGGCGTCGATGGAGGACGAGGGGTACGTGGCGGCCGGACACGCCCTGCGGCGAAAGGTGCAGTTCGCCAAGGACGAGGATCTCCACGACATACTGGACTACTGGAAGGGGGTCTCCGCCCAGCAGAAGACCTGATGCCCCGGTGTGGAGGGACAGAACGCTTCGAAGACGGAAAATACCAACAACACGGACTGATACACGAGTGACTTGTAAATACGCACAAATACACACGACTTGCAGGATCTACGGAATCGGACTGCACACATAGATCTACACACACACACACACACACACAAACCACAAACCAAGCCTTTGCTTCTGAGAACACGAAGTTGGACCAAACTAATATATTATATTGAACAACAAGAATTATAGCTTATAGAGATACTGAGTTACGTTTTGTAATGTAAAACACATTATAGCTCAGACTTATGTAGCTGTTTGTACCACGTTTTGAATGAAGAAAAAAAACATAATAATACTAATAATGAAAATTAAGAGCAGAAACCTTAAATGTTGCCAGGCAACCCATCCTGAACCGCCTGGCTACGCTTTCAATCTGCCTCGAGACCGACGTTCACCCCACCTGACCGCGGCCGACTGACCTCTCCGGCTGTCGTCGTCGCCGCCGCGGCGATCCGTTAACATTCTGCCTGGACGGGAAGCTCGGCGCGCTGCTTTAAAAGGAAAAAAAAAAAAACATTTTTAAAAGATCCACCGTTATCTTTGTACATCACAGTGACAGACTCTGGATGGGTCGCCAGGCAACAGTAGTATTCAACCGTGCTGAGAACGAGTCGGTAGCTCTCACCAGGAAGTGAGCATAATGTGCCAAATCAACAAAGTGCACCAACTTCTCCTCGCCACTGTTTTTATAGACAGAGTTTAAAAACCTAGAATGATATGTTACTACTTATTAATTATTCTTATTACATTACTGGTCTTCTTCTTATTCCTACGCTCCACATCATTAATACTCAATATTGTTTGAACGCGGCTCCGTTGACGCGTGTTGACTGAACCCTCTCAGCCGAGGACGCAAACACCGACAACGGACCAGACTTTTCAGTTCTTCTTTCCTCACCGAAGAGGAATGTGCTCTCTGCTGAGCCGAAAACCAGGCCCGTCGTTACCCCCCCACCCTCCCCCTCACCCTCCTGAAGAGGGTCCGCTGTACAGATGAAGTTCTATATTTGCAACAGAGGTGACTGTTTTGTTTGTACTCTCTGACAGGGGTACGTTTTGGATTTTGAAATCAAACTAAAAATTCTAATCTGCAAATGAATGTCTTTTAACTCCCACGGGGGGGGGGGGGGTCAGGGGGGGGGCAACATATCTGCACTGTTCAAAATCAAGAAAGGACTCTTTTGGGAGGAGACCTAAAGTGATCCTCCACTGTGTCCTTTCAACGAATCGTCCCCCCCCCCCCCCCCTCCAGGGTTTCACTGGGCGGGTTTCTTCGGGATTTCTCCGGTGTCACTGTGGTGGCGTTGTGCCGACTCCACAAAATCCTATTTTAAAGGGATTTTAATACCCTACTATTTACAGAACTCTCCTCCTTTACGTCGAAACATCAACAAAAATATGGACAAAGCGGCCCCTCCCGTCCCCGCCCGTCCTCCCCCCATTGGGTCACTGGGTCCCCTTCTACCTTTCAAACATTTCTAAAAACCAAGTACTGTGGTAGTAAATTGCCCTCTATAGCCCCCCCGTGACCCCGCTGTTCACCCACCATCACCCTCACAATAGCAGCTCTAGCACAGGCGCACACATTTAAGTGTACCCACACAACCACACACACACAGATGAATGTATTCTTTGTTTTCCCGATGAACAAGCTGCATTCTGAACAGCGTCCTCGTCCGCAGAAACTTTTCTCCAGGTGGCTCAAAACGCGTTTTCAGAGCGGGACACGGGGGAAGAAGGAAAAAAAGCAACGAATATTTGGCTTTTCCCAAGGAAGCAAGAACCGACCACTCAGGGCGGATTCTCTCCCGGGACGACTCTCCTGGCAGCAGCAGCTTGTTTCGCCCGGCGAACCGAATGTTGTCCGCGAGGAGGGCGGGGGTTGCCTTATCAAAGGGTTTTTCAACAAGAAACATATTCCAGATGTTAGAAGTGTTGTGGTAAAATGTGATGAGCACCGCCAGCGTGGTGAAAAGAGGCCGCGTGTTTATGTGAACACCGGAGGCCGAGCGCTGCTGTTTGGCGCGTACGGGAGAGCGAACGCTTCAACTCAGCGGATTACGGGTCGAGCCTGCTGGACGCATTCACAGTACCGACCGATTAATGGTCACAAATGCGTGCGAGGACTTTTTGAAACGGAACAGACGGCCTCGAGGAAAACGAACGCTGAAAACGTGTCTGGTGAATGGAAACACTGTATAAACTCTTTTCTCTGTTATTCTCTGCTACGGTGAGTTCAGAATGCTCAAGTCATTAAGCCCGGTTAAAGCCATAATCGCGGGATAGTGAAATCACCACAGCTGCTTGTAGCACTGCAAAAAAAAAAAGAAAGAAAAAGCACATTTGTTTGTGTGGTTTCAAAAAAAAAGAGAATGCCCTCTCCTCACACTGCAGCAGCTACGACGAAGCGTCCAGCTCCAGACGGGCCGTGGTCGTTTCTGCGTTACACGTCCCAGATTGTGGCTTTAACTTAACAACAGCCTTAAGAACATTCAATTTTTTTCATTACTCTTTTTAACCGAAGCGTTGCTTGGAAAATCAAAGAATTTCCTCCTTTCTTAGCTTATACTTTCCTGGCTGCAATTTTTATAATTGCTGGATTCTTAAGCCTCACTTGAGCATTCTTTGAGTAACAGTAATACCAACGTAGCGATGTATTATACTACTGTTTCTTCTCTTCTTTTCGTTCTTTTCCCGGTTCTGTTTGTGAACAATAATGGCCTGAATTCCTCACGTGTCGGAGAGCAGCGGAGCTCGTCTGGAATCGGACGACAAGGCGCCGGTCGACGCCGCCACCCCCCCCCGGCCCGGCGCCGCCGCTGCTCCTTGAGGCGCGAGGAAAGAAAAATAAACTGTTTTTTGAAACTACAATGCCTAGAAAGTGGAAATAAACAGAGGTCCTACTGACGACAGACAGAAACACTGGAGCATGATGCGAGGGAATCCTCGGCGCTTGCGTGTGTTGCCATAGGATCTCTGCCAGCTTTTCTTTCTTTTCTTGTCAAAAAAAAAACAAACATAAATGAGCACAATAAAATAGCTTTTCTTTCACCGTCTCCTTTCCTGGAGAAACCACACCTGCGGCAGATGTTTCAAACACACTCGGGGCTTTTCACATTTCAAAAGCAGAAGTATCTGCAGGCGTTGAGCGGTAAGAAAAGAACGTTTTTGGTGCCAGGTTTTAAGATATTAGTCTCTGGTTTTTGGTTCCGCCTAAACAGACCTGCAGGGGAGACTTTCGGCCAAATGACGGGAAAACGGCAAGTTTTGCTGGACAAAGTGGAATATTAACAAAATGATGCGGCTTGACGGGGAGGTAATAAATCCTTTTGGAGACTAACAAGCCAGAAACAGGTCAGAACCAGTAGCATAATAGCGTCATATGAACTGATTGTCACACATTACAGCACTTACAGGGGTTCCCCTTTACCCCCACACAAATAAATTGTAGAAATAGGCAAACTAGTTCCATAGTTATTACACTTTTTATCACGGGTGTGCTATCGGATCAGAGGCCAAAAAAGAGGCTTTTCTGCAAAAGGGGCCACAAATAGAATGTGAGGAAAGTCACGCGTGTGGAAACTGGTTTCGCAGAGTGTCTTATGCAAGTCACGCAGAGTTCAATGACCGTTGCTTCTACACGTGAATCGAAATCAAGTTTGTAGTTTTATAGCAAAAAACAACATGAAAACATCACAATAACTAATTGTAATTGGTTAATCCACATCCGTGGGAAGTCTTTGGCTCCCAGTTAAATATAATCCGCTTAAAATCACATATATTTTTATCTATACTATTTATGTCCGAGCTAAATCCGGGGCCGGGTGGCGCCGCAGGAAAACCGACGGACGGACCCGAGGCTCCGACTTCAAGAGATGCTTCAAAGGAGGGAAAATGAAGTGATGTCATAGTACACAGTGTTGCGTTGTGGATGAAAGGCCCGCTCGCAGCGTGTCCTTGGTGGGATGAATTATAATCGTTGCTTCGCTGGATTTTTATTTGACTGCAGCGACTGATCCCTCTAAAGAGGAGTGTTCGCGCTCCGGAAAAAATTGGCGTTTCAATAGGCCGAGAAAATGTGTCATTTAAAATAGCTTGTTTGTACGAAAGAAGTATGACGCTGAGTGACTGCAGCAACGTCAGGATGTTTGTTGTGCCGGGACAAAAAGGGTCGAGGACGTTGAAGTTCGAACCGTCAGCCGCTTAAACCGTGGCCATGTGACGCGCGGGAGACCTTCAGTCAGCAGAAGGTGTCCCGACACGCAGCCGTTCACAGTCACACCTTCTCACCTCGTCCAGAGACCTTTAGTGAGAAGCCTCTCTGCAGGTAAGTGAGACGCTCCCTGAGAGGCCTGGAGACAACTACCACATGTGATAAAACTACAGTAGAACCCACGATGAGAATGTTAAATGGCTAATGACGACAGTGAAACGTTGGAGAGATAAATAAGAAAATAAAAAGCTTTAATTGGAGAAGAAGCAGGACTTTGTTCTTGAGAAGTCGCTGCACTATTTTCACCGACACATAAAGTGAGGATCCAGGGGTTTTGGAGCTTGACCCACATTAGAGACTTACAGTACAGTTAAGATTTCAATGAAAATATTGCTGTTGTCAGCTATAGTTTCCCACAATGCTGAGTTTAAAAAAAAAATATGAAAGATTATCTTAAGTGCTTGAAAGTTTGACCTTTCGGGGAATAAGCTCATTCCCTTTCTTACCAGATGGTCTCAAATCAGCAAGATTACTTTAGCTTAGCATAAATACTGCGATCAGCAGGTCTTGCCAACGTGAGGTTGCTAAGCAACCGGCTGAAAAGCCCGGCGGCTCGTGTCACAATAAAGTATCCATAAAACCACAAACTGCTACTTTATGAATCCCCTTTGTGTTTGGATTGAACAATGTAAAGTGTAGATCAGAGAACAGAGCCAGGCTAGAGCTATGCTAGTTATGCTAAGCTACGCTATCCACCTATAAACACATGTGGGGCTGACGCTCTGCTACAACAGAGGTGCAAAAAGGCTCCTCCTTAAACCATCATTTAAGCAAATAGGTTTTTTGGGGGAAAATCAGAATGTTCTACTAAGAAATGTTTTGGCAGAGCAGAGACGAACTTCATGGCTCACGTGGGCGATGACACAGACTTAAATAACCCCTCGGATTCATAGTGCAGGAGCACGATCCCATTCCATCGCCAACCGAAATCGCAACGCCGAAGAGGTTTCATTACTCCTTATCTCCAAACCGGCGCGGTACAAGCGGCTTAAGGGCCCGACGGTGGGAGGCCTCCATCGAGACGAGAACACGTCCTTATGGGGGCTTTTTCATTATCCTTACATCTCCCATCTGTCCCGCATGACTCCAGGCCAGGTGAGCACGCGATGTCTCCACTGTTGCATCATCTTTCTCCAAAAACCTCATTTCACCTCTCGCTGTGGCGCCTTCCAAGGAGCCGTCTTATCAAAGCAGTCTGATGCAGGGCCTGCAGCCCCCCTGACGCAGGGCCTGCAGCCCCCCGACGCTGGGCCTGCAGCCCCCCGACGCAGGGCCTCCAGTCCCCCAACGCAGGGCCCCCAGCCCCCCCTCCATCACTCTACAGACGTCCATCAGGACAAAAAGAGGCAACAATACTCGCCCCTCCCTCATTGGCTCGTGGCATTTGCGGTGACACTTCCGGCAGAGATGGAGGGTAGAAAAGGGACGGAGAAACAAAGAAGCAGAAAGTAGCCGGAAACGGAATTAAAAATGAGGGTGAAGGAAGATAAAAGAGCGCCGGGGTTCTTTACTCGTTGCCCCCGTTTGATTCCCCTCACAGCCTCGGGGCTCGTCTTTGTGAAATAACCTTTTAAAAAATGCGCCTGATGTGGGTCACCCAGTGAGAGCAGCCGTCCGCCTCATTCTCACCACTTTATTACTACGTATTAAAATCAACCCGCTCACAAGAGGAGCCTGCATCGCACACGTGCACACGTGCACACGCACAGGGTGAGAGGACACTGAGGGGCGAACAACACGACGTACAGTTAGTCACCAGGTCAGCGGTCAAGTTAGTTGAATTAGTTTTCTCTTTCTTAGTTGTCTTCGACTTCTGAGCATCTCAGCAACTTCTGTTACGACGTCTCACGAGGGACCAGCGTTCAGGAGACGCCTGAAGGCGATGAACCGGATCGCACCCCTAAAAAGACGGAGTGAAGGAGCAGAGAGAGAGAGAAGCAGAGGGTGGAGGAAGCGTTTCTTCTTTACTGTATTGAAATGTATTGAAAGGAAACACAGGGTTTCCCGCGCGCGCTCGAAGGGGCTTAAGACCAAAGATCGAGGCGCCGCAAATTAAAAGCGCTCTAATTAGCCAAACCGTCACTCGGCAGCTCGGGCAGCCATATTGAAGCGTGTCTGGAGACCTCCACCGGCCCCTGCTTACCAATTATATATATATATATATATATATATATATAGACACGTTGTGTAACATTTATCTTCATCACGTGAAAACACCCCTCGCGTTACTTATTACTTGCGGCTCGGCGGATCATGACTCCCTCAAAGCATTTCTGAATCAGAGTCTTTTCTTACGTTACAGTAGATCCCAAAAATATGATGGTGATGCTTCCTCAAGTTGTGTCTCCTAAACACAGCGGCGTCAGAGAGGTGAAATCCCACAAGCAGCCAGCGCAGACCGGTCACTGCAGTTAATGTGGATTAATAGGGCTGTAAATAGATTAAAACACATTATGAACTTCATTCATCTCGATTAATCTTGAATGTTGTTTTTAATGTTTTTTTATCTTCTAAAGACTAAATCTTAAAACTACTAAGTAATCACTTTAGAAAACGTGTTGTTTAATTGTCAAGTTATTTTAAACACAAAACTACACGCATTTGATCATCTTGGAGGCAGAATTCCACCTGGTGGAACACGTTGAACATGCGACTCGTCCACTTTGCTCTCAGCTCTCCATCATTTAACGGCAGTATTTAAAGTGCCAACAATCTCCCCACGTTTAGCAGGACGATTTCAAAGTCCTTTAGGGACACAGCGGTGGTCCTCTGCAGACGTGGAATAACGTTTCCGAGGTCAATTTAAAACAAACGTACAATATCGTTAAAATATTTTTTGCATTAATCTCGGCCACATTAATCGCATAGATTAATACATTTATGTTGACAGCCCTAATAATTAATATTCTCTCAGTTTGAGTTGCACACTATGTGTAATTGATTGCATTTGCATTTCAGAGCAGCAGGAGGTACAGTAGTTTCGTCGGGTTGACAAAAGCCTCGACGTGCATCGCTCAGCTAACATGAATCCCTCCAGAATATCACCTCTAGGTGAGCGCTGCGGGGGGGGGGCGCGGCGTGAGACATAATAATAAACAAAGGGAGTATGTGGCGTGTACAGAGCGGGAGGATGCGCTTCCTCCGGAGACGTGTGGCGGTTCTTCTTCTCCCAGCGTCGCTGTGACGAGCGGCTTCGTTCCTCAGACGCTTCCTTTGGTTTCTCGCTCGTATTTGACGGCTGCTTCCTCCTCACGCCGGGTTTATTTATGCCACTTTCTCTTTGGTCTAGAAATTTCACTCGTTTTTTAAATCTGGCCTGCGTAGCGCAGCATTCTTAGTGAGTATCAGGAATTAACGACGCCGCTGTGATCTGCTGCTGTGAACAATATGAATGAGGAGAGGAAACAACATTTGGATCCAGGCAGCAGACGGACGCTCACATGAGGAATCCGCTGTAATGCAACTGTGGAAAACATTTGCATCCCTGTGAAAGATCCAGTCTGCTGGTTCGCTTTTCTCCATCTTAAGACTAAATGAGGGTGAAACACGTAGAAGCGCTCGGCACTCTGTCCGGGTTGGAGTGAGGAAGAAATATTGAAGATCCAATACTACATTTTGTCCCCACAGTCGAGTTCAAAATGTGATGAAGGGAAAGGTTGGCATGTTTCATCTTTTTATTTTCAACATTTGTGAGAAGAAGCCAAAAAGATCATTTTCCAACAGTAGAGAGTACAGAAAACTTCCTCTTCAAGACAAGCAAATAAAATGATTAAAAATAATAAAAAACAACTTTATGCGGCATCACTGAATGAAATAGTGATGAAAAACAAAGTTCTCATTTTGATAAATCCTGTTAAGAGCAGGGAGAGAAAAAACAAGCCCCCTCAGAGCTTGTTTGGACACTGGATTGGACTCCTTAGATCACATGAGAGGACGCAGAAGATCCACAGGAGCACAAAGGTTTCTCCTCCCAGTGCGTATTTAACTTCCAACTGTCGCACTGTAAAAAGAAAAAAATATATATATATTTATTCACCAGTCGAAAAACGTGTGAATATTCAACGGTGAAAACAGGAAATTACAGGTTAAAAGTGATCCCATCTTGAATGTAGTCGACATCGATTTACTTCAGATCGTGGTCTGCCGGCTGAAGAGGTCAAGGGTCACCGCGGAGAGGAACGCCGGGAGGCTCTTCTGGTGATGCAGGTGGAGCGCCACCATCTCGCCCAGAGTTTTAGAGAACTCGGTCTCCATGAGCTGCATGCTTCCACTGGAGCCCTACGTGTGCAAAACACACACGCACACACACACACACACACACACACACAGTTATCAGAAGACAATGCACATTATCAAACATTAGGACCTGGGTTTTTGCATGCAACTCCAGAGAAAAACTTTCAAAGTGAAGAACACTTCAAGTTGTTGTTGTCTACAGGGGATTGTCGTGTGCATCTGTGCGTGTGTGTGTGTGTGTTTCCCATTCACAGCAGGGTGAAGGTGTCTAAATCTGTGTGGATTAATTAAAAGGAATGAGGAGCAGCTCGGGGCGATGGAGTGGAGGAGGAAGGGATGAGGGAAGCGAGGGATGAAGTAATTAAAGCATCGCAGGATGGAGGACGACAGCGAGCAGCAGAGATATTGAGACGTCGGAGGAAAGACCGGCGTCACGTGACCGAGTATTCCACCGGTATCACCAGAAGGGTCACAACGCACGCCGCTACGCCGCGTCCCACGTGGACACTTGAGTTCCGAAAGGTCGAGCGGGTAAATGTCCCGTCTGTGATTTGGAGCTGAATAACTCGTAAAGGTTATATATGCCTTTTTAAAAATTAATCCCTCTTGAGCTTCGCATTATTCCCTTAAATTTAAACAAACCTCAGCTGTAGCACATTGGAAAGCATTTTGGATGCAGGAAAAAAAAAAGGGTAAAGCAATCAGTGTGCTTCCTCACACACAGCGGGGCGAGCTTCACTTCCGCGTGAACAGTGACAAATCTCCGAGGTGGGTGAGGTGGGTGAGGAGGGTGAGGAGGGTGAGGAGGGCGCATGACCAAACTAATGACTTTGGCAAGCGGGCTGCAAACCGAGGCTGAACGGCGCCTGATGAAATCGGGCCCGACGACTTCCTGTCTATATGCAGACACCCACAGCAGCTCGAGCTAACTTCGAGCTAGCATTATGCTAACAGGAGTTAAGGTCGGTGGATTTTTGGCGGTGAGAGTTTGTTTTTTGTCCTTATTTACTTACTTATTTATGCGTTCTGCTTTAATGGAGTTTCGCTCGAAGAGAAATAAGAAACACGTTGAAAAGTGACGGCTAAAGTCACAAAGTTTGTTTGTTGACAAATCAGAGCCGCAACTCTCGATTAATCTGCCGATCATTTTCAAGAATACCTACCTAAGTATTATATTGTGCACCATACCAGCTATATATATATATATATATATATATATATATATATATATATATATATAAGTAACAAATTGTTACAATTGTAACCATCCACACTGCACCTTTAAAAACAGAGTTTACAAGGTGTTTTGACAGAGCAGCAGCTCTTCTTCCTCAGTATTTATTGGCAATTATCCCGTAACGACTGTGTACAGTGAAGAGGCGGAGGGGAGAAACCGGGCGGATGACACGCTGCAGAGGCTCTCCAGCCGGATTTGTCGCGGTTATGTGGTAAGCGCCTTAGAACGCCGCCGTGGTATTTTACATTTAAACGTGCACTCCTATTAAAAAGTTTAGGATCTTTCCACGTTAAAAACAGTGAGGATGACATTTCTTACCATTACTTTTGCCGTTTATTCCGCCAGGCATCGACCTTCTGTTGTCTTTCAGAATAGAGGTACTTTCTTTACAAAAGGGCTCCGATAATTCAAGGCGTCTCCATCTGCTCGAGCAGCGGGACGCTCTCGATGCACAACGGAGCCACTCAAACACTCGAGAAAGAGACGCATCTGCCTCCGAGGAGCGTCTCCGTCTCCCACAAATGTGCTCTAAATGCAATTTCACCGCTCGGGCCTGAAAACGCTGCGGCCGGACCCAGCCGAGGCTTTTCTAATCACACACCAGCTTTATCCAGCCGTCCTCCCGTCGCTCCGCCTGAGCGCCCTCACTCTGCTGCCTGTCTCCGGGGGGGGGGGGTTCTCCCCGAGAGCGACGCCGTACCCGCACAGCCGCCGCTCTCATCAGAACATGGAGACGGACGCCGGCAACGTGGGACACGCACATCAAAGACCGGTTACCATGGAGACCTCAGAGTCTGCAACACGAGTTTTCCCGCGGAATCTTATTTATCTCCTTACATTCTTCATCCTGTGCAGCGTGAAGCCCGTTGACATTAGCGATCATCACGCCAGAGACGATTCATATCGTTTGAAATGATAACGTCACACCAACGAACAGGAGCCACGAACATAGAAATCCAAACCGGAGCGGCTACTTTTGTGCTTGTGTGTCGGACCTGTGTGAGGAAAATAAAGATAGTTTCATACTAATGATCTCTGTGTGTGACTTTGCGCTCTAGTCGGATGAGCTGCTCCTCAGGTTGAATAAATTACAATTCTTTCAATTGTTAACAGATGCTACACAAATATGGTGCATAACTGATTTAATAAAGTAAGCATGCTCATCCAGTAAAGTAAAGCTGCTTAAACAACTAAAAATTGAGCTGGAATAGTTTTTCAGCTGATCTGCCTGACTAAGTGCTGCTTACGGACATTAAATAATATTCTCATGTGGTTCGAACACAACGCTGAAAAGTTCAGATGACAGATTTCATTTCTGGTGATATTTTGGAAGCTAAATCTACCAAATGTAGCTTTGGTAAACATGAAACGTGTATAATATGAGGGCTGAAAAGTGCAGTCCCAGTTGGAAAAAAGAAGCTTTTTTATTTTTTATTTCATGTAACCCAGAAGGCCACACGGTTAGCAGGACTTGTTATTTTTTATCCTACGCATCTCCTTCCTCTTGGGTGGAGAAAATAAATAAGTTAAGGTCAAGTGTTTTTTTAAATCAGCTTTATTCAAATATTGACCTTATCAATGAACATTTGCATATTTACGCTTCCTTATTAGGTGTTTTAAACCCGTTCTGACCTTTCTGAAAACAACAAAAAGTTACATTTGAAGACAACTTTCCTCATTCAGGAGGCGTGAGCGTCACGCAGGAGTCTCTGCCCGACAATAAAAACAGAGATGGAAGACGGACGAACGTTTCCTCAGGATCAGCGATAAGAAACAAAGACGTACGACGTCCAAGGAGGACGGACCTCAACAGTGGAGACGAGGAGCGCGGCCTCGTTCTTCCCCTCCTTTCAATGGTCGACCCAATTAACGGAAATCGATGCTCCCTGGCATGAGATGCGGGGGGGGGGGGGGGGGCCTCACAGTGACCTCATCCAACCGAGGAGCCGCACGCCGCCTGAATGACAATCCCGACGTAGACCGAGTCAGTAATTGTAATTGTGTTCTGCTCTTCTGTCCTATGTGGTGTGTTGGCTCAGTACTGCAGCAGCGCCAACACTCTATTTGTTCACCATCACCACCCAGACTTGGTTTTGTTTTTTTTTAGCTCTCCTCACGCGGGTGGAAATGGTTGCCTAGGGGCTCTTTTTTTTCTTTCTCCCGGGGCATTTGTTTGCGGGAGGACCGCCCTAAAAGCGCCGGGTTGTTACACACAATACCTTCAAAACCCTCCTCTCCCAGCAACCCCCCCCCCCCCCCCCACCCGACTGAGGCCAAATAACCTCAGACTCTTTCTACCGACGCGCTCGCCAATCTTCCCCCGCTCCGCTCTCCATCCCTCTCCTCCCCGTCTGCCACGCGGCGCTCATCCAAAAAGCACTGGGTTACCAGGGGCAACCGCCATGCCCGACATGGCCCCTGTTCTAATTTGTCTGGCTAAAGTGGCATTTCATTTTGAAATACTTATAGAAAGACTTTGTGTGTACGTGTTTAAATTATACACACACACACACACACACACACACACACACACACACACACACACACACACACACACACACACACACACACACACACACACACACACACACCAATCTTTATCTGAATATGATGAGATAAGACTTTAAATGGCTAATAATAAGTTACTGCTTCTTTTCATATTTAAATATTCACAAACAATTACATGATTGTCGCATGTAAATGAACCAAACTTGATTAAATGAATCCGTATTAATCACGTCAGTGTAACAGACTATTACTGCTACACTAATTTGGGTGGTTGTGATGCAGGAAAAGAAAGCGCAGATGAAAAGCAGAAACCACAGGACTCGGAGGAGCCGCGCGTTCTCATTTCCATCCTTGATGAGACGTTTCCATTATCTGAATAATCGTCTCTGTGAACGTGAACTCGTTGAACGCACTCAGACGGCCTCGCCGGCCCCCGCAGACTCAACGTGCGACTTTGCACCGATCTTCTGCGACTCCATTTGCGTGACGGACGGGCTCGTATGGAGGTGGTGGCGCGCAGGTCGCGGCTCACCGCACCGCTAACGAGGGGCTCCTCTGCTCCCCATCTAAAACATCCGATTCGCTTCCCATTCACACTTTGATCTCTTCCCCACGTGCGCACCCGGAAACCGCCCCAGCGACGGCAGACAATTCCACCGCCCCGGACGGCGAGCGGTGGGTTTAAAACAAAAAGGAAACAAAAGAGAAGAGAAAGCAGAAGGCAAATACATTGAATAATCAGAAGTATGCAGATGATGAGCTTCCAATATAAATGCTGATTTTTTTTTTTCCTCGCAGTCGGGAGGATGTCAGAGAGTAGAAAAGTAATTCTATTCATATTTATGTTCTAATCAGCATATTGTTTAGTTTTTAAAGCGGTACTCATCGGTCTGCGCAGTAATTAATATGTAACGGGGCACATTTACTTTCTGAACGACTGATGTCCGGATCGTCAATTAAACAGGGAATCGGTTCAGTTTTGACTTACTGAAACCTGCCGATGTCGTGAATCAACTCATCTGGCTCACGACGGTGCTCACGTTCCTGCAGGCGGAGCAGCAGCCGTCTCTGACTGCGGCCTATTAATAAAACCGCAGGCCTGCGTTCGATTAGAACTCCTTTTCAAAGCCTCCTTCTTAACATCTCACAGCCGACTCGCTAAAGAACACGGCCGACCGTCTTTGTCGGCGTCCGTGTCCTCACTTCCTGTCGGAGGCAAAGAAGATGAGGATGAGGAATTCCACCCGCTCAAAAAGATCCATCGATTCAACCAGAGTCGCGTGGGAGCCGCCGCCTC